TAAGAAAATGTCCTTTAGAGTCGTCTTTACAGTTTGTTAATCGAACAGCTGAGTGGGAAAATCAGGAACGGTGGTCCACTCGTCTCCCGTGAGAGTGAACCGGGTGACATGTTCGACCGTGTCTTGGTGCGGGTTTATCTGCTCGAAGCAGAGCTCTTTACGTCAGAAGGCTTTAGAAGTTTTCAGAATCTTCTTGCCAGATTCGATCAGATACAGCAAGTAAGCCGGCTGTCCCTCCCTATTGCACGACCATTGTACCCGAACTTCGGAAAGATCACGCATGCCTTCGAGGGACTGCGAATAGAATCTTGGAATGGAAAGAAGGTTAGTTACGGCGAAACTGAATTGGTATTGCGAACCCTGGAAATTTCCCATTCATGCAGACCATAAGACTTCGGAGATTCGGGGTTGTTTTGCGAAGCCCTAAATACGAGCCTAAGCGCTAACCGAATTGTGACACTGTCAAATCACCCACATTCGCCCATATGCCGCGACAGATTCACGTTGTTGACAGTGTCTATTTGCTCGGAACGGCCGGTGGCTCCCAGGAATTCTGCCCCGTTACAGAAGTGCACGCGGTCATCAGGGGCATGTGTCAAGGCCCGAAGGTTGGAGAAACAGTGAAGGATGGGCGCCAACTCGCCAGGAATGGCCAGTGTTGCAACGGAAGGAAACGAGAAGTCCTCGCATAACGCTATGAACACGTTTTCCATGGTCTTCAAAACACCCAGGATGGTGAGAGTCTGCAGGTTGGGCAATAGACGGAGTACACGAATGAAATGAATCACAGGTTGCGCATTATCCATATTGCACTCGGCGAGGTTGACAGACAAGGAGCTGGACAGAGATGACTTTGTATCAGTTCTATGGAGAAAGGACCGTGCACGTACTGGATGTAAGGCACAACGTAGGCTGTGCTCAGGATACCTCTCATGCGATGTTCTAGCATTTTACCTCTCCGTTTTGAAAAGAGTATACGGGTTTTGATCGCGTCCTCGTTCTTCGTTTGTGCTTATGTCTGTTTGCGACGGAGTCTGCTTCTGCTCCACTTTTGAATGGCGGGGCTGTGCAAGCACTCCACACTCGCTTCACACATTCCAGGCAATGTCGACGTTCGAGGAACATATTTGCGGGGAGGGAGCGAGGCGAGAACACAGAAAATGAATATATCTATGGCCAAAAAGAATTGGCCTCGTAGCGGGATTTATTAGCGTTTTATGAGAACGATGGGTGGAGCAAAACCAGACTCACTGTCAAACAGACGTGGTTGTTCGTCGCCGCGAAAACTTTGTTATTCAGCTCCCGTGTCTCGGGTAGCGCTTCCAGGCTCAAGATGACGTTCTGCGAGTCGCGCACGAAGACATCACGCGGCGGACGGCTGACGGCGTTCACGCCCTGCTTCGTCCCCGCGATTCCTGCAAGAGGGAACAGCGCGATGCGCTCTGCCAGCGTCCGCACATAGCCGTGGAGTTTGCTGGGGGTGTCGAACGCTGCGTTGACCCATCCGAGCCTGGCTGCGGTAGCAGCATCGACGTCTGCGGAAGACAACACGTATTCGAGGGTGCGCCCGCGGCCGATGAGATTCGTGAGGTAGAGCGCGCCGCCTGCGCCTGGGACGGCACCGAGGGAGTTTTCCAGCTGCCCGACGAGCACGTTCGGGGAATCGAGCGCGAAGCGCATGTCGCATGCCATGAGGAATTCGTTCCCGATGCCCCGTGCACGCTGAAGGGTGTCGGTGATCTGGGTCGAGGCAAGACTTTTGTAGCTACTCACGCCTTCGATGACTGCGACGGTAGCTTGCGGAAGTTGGGTGATATTCCACATCAGCGCGTCGGGGAAGATCATGTCTGGGTTGAACGGATCGAATTGAGGTAGCGGGGACTCTGCTTACAGTCAGCCCATACTCATACAGCTCAACACTAGCCAGAAACCACGCACCGAATCCCGGGAGGAAGAGGTTTATATCAATACGCGCGATGAAAAACTTCGGGATTGGCGCTCGAGAAGACGACAACGTGGACATCCGAGTCGGTGCCGTTGGATTGCAGGAGCTCGAGAAGATTCGCGAGGTCGGCCATGACGTGGAAGTCGAATATGTTGATTTCGGAGAAGGTGTTGTTGATCACGACGTCTATGACCCCAGCGGAGGTGCTTGTTTGGAGCGTCCCGAAGGACGGGTAGCGCGCACCGGAGGTGGTTAGGACGAATGAGCAGAGGATACTAAAGAGTTGGAGGAGGTGCGAGAGAATCATGATGGGACAAGTTAGTCAACGGAGAGCGGGAAGGGAGCCTTTAATACGATGGCCCCAACTGTAGGGAGGCATTAGGCCGGGTGGGTAATGGATTACAGTCGCCCGAGTCTGCCCGCTGCTTGCCGAGTCCAGCATGTCAGCTTACTAGGATCGTTGGTAAACGAAGACGCCGCACGCCGAAGAACTTGCTGTCAGCCAACTATCCGACTTGCCGTGAGCAATATGGAGCGCTCGCTGGGGTTCTGGAGTGCGTCCGTTGTTCAGTCAATCTTCAAGCTTGTATGTAGTATTCTGATGAACCTGTCAAGAACCTTACGGTTCATTAGAAAATTTGCACAAGACGTACTGTACCAATACCGAATAATCTCGGTGTCCCGAGTCTCGATGAGTCAGTCAACTTGAGGTCGTCCAAGATGGTCAGTGAAGATAACAAGTTGGAGGCAAATGCAACGCACCTCAAGTCTCGTGGACGCACAAACCTAATCGACAAAAATGTTGCGGACGTTTTAACAGTAGGCCAAGAATGGAACATTGTAAAATCGAATGCACCTCAAGTCACAAAACCTGGGAATTTGGAATCCTTAGGATTGAAAAATGAGCAAGCCAGCTGAGCATGACGCGACGAGAAAGCGTCTCCTATGTCGCAACAACCAAGCTCAAGAGAGGATTTGAATTTTCGACTGCAGGTTGGGTTGACATGTTTCTGATCAAGGTCAGAGCTGGTGTATGTCAACTGAAAAACTGCTGTAATGAGTGCGGAATGCCATTTTGCAATGGAATGTGCAAGGCCACGACAGGACGCCATGTTCGTTTACGCACTGTGCTGGAAAAAAAAGGCACCCCAGGCCCCTGTGGTCGGCACACAACCAATATCTGTAGAACCCAAATCGCCAGCAATTACACCGCCCAAATCGGCACAGCGCCTATTGTACAACACGGCGGTACAATTCCTGTAAGTAAGAAAAGCGGTTTCTAGCCGTACCACTGGTTTCCCAACCTCGTCCTCGCCCGCGGACGCGTCGGGATGAATGACTCGGTGATCTTGAATACCTCGATGGCGCGCTATCAGAAGAAATCAGAACGCCTGCCAGAGAGAGATAAATAATTATGCGAACCCTCCAGGTAGCCATATCAAACTCGAAGATGAGCTGCTGCTTTAGCAGCACACCGCCCGCGGCTTCCCGGTCTTCGTCTGAGGGCTCTTGACACGCGACTGAAAGAGCGGAATGAATGAATGAAAACAGTCGGATCGGACAACGAAGGAGACATACAGATGATGGGTTCAGCGTCCTCGCTAATCTCAAACGCGACTTTCGCGTCGCGGATGAGAAAGGAGAGATAGAAGATGTTCTCCACAGACTGCGCGAAGCTCTCCGGGTTGATCACCGCCCTGAACAAATTGATCTTTTCGACTTGCTCCAGGGCGTTCGCGACCTAGAGTTTGGGCATTGAGTGCGTGGAGGTTTTGATAGCAGAGAGCGAGGAGACAGACCACAGCGACATTCTTGGTCGTCTCATTCTCTGACCGCGCGATGTCCTCCTCCCTGATCTCCTGCGGCCGCGTCTGGTCGTTCTTGTTCTTCTCGAATTTCGCGCGCTTTTGCGTCGGCGCGCGCTGCTTCGCCTCAATCGACAGAGGACCATTCCTTGCCACGGAGCCGTCAGGAAGACGTAAGATGGCAGGCAGAAAACACGCACATGAAGCCCATCGCCGGCACGCGCCGACTCTTCGCCATCGCACGGCGCCCCACCTTCGCCCACTCAAGCGGCGAATCATCCTCCTCTTCCTCCTCCTCGGCCTCCACGAGGTCCTCTGGCGGCCGATACCCGCCCATAAAACCCACGAGCTTCGTGACAAACTCCTCGATGCTGAACGCGCCCGTGCCGAACTTGAGCCCGCGCGCCTTCTGGATGTTGAGGTTGACCGTTTTGACGAGGAAGGCCGAGTCGAGTGTCGCTTCACCCGTGTTTTTAACTTCATGCCATCATCAGCAAAAGGCTCTATAGTAGAAATGAGGCAGGGAGGAAGCACCATCTTCAAACAGCTCATTCGCGCGCGCGACTTGATTCTGCAGTTCTTCCGCGGTATAGTCCGCTTGTCTATCATCTGGAAAAACAAATCCCATAAGATCCGTGTTTGCCTTTCCAGGTAGCAAGTCACCTATATTCTTGTGGAGCTCGCGATATTTGCGGCGGAGCGCACGCTTCACTTCCGCATCTTGGTCCGGATCGTACGCCAGGCCTAGTGAGCAGCATTGGAGTCGGGATGAAAAAAGAGGCACCGGGGTACAGTACCTTCTTTGCGCGGGCTCGACATCTGCGGCGAACGGTTTCAGGGAAAGGTGGTGGGAGATGACAACGTGTGTCGCGGTCACGAGACCACGATCAACGCGTTGTTGTCGTGATTTGTCGATTTGGGTAAAGTGTTCAATTTGTACAGGGGCACTGCACAGTCCGTACTTAATCACTCGCGGTCCGGAAAGCTTCACGCCACACGAGTGACGATACGATCCCTGTCTACTGCTTTGGAACAAAATGGCGAGCGACCGGAGGAAGTCATCCCAGCATTGTGAACCATTCTGGCTGCTCTTGAGACTCCCTCACACTGACAGGTGCAGTATCTCAGCGTTTTTCGAAACACCCTAGAACTACTTACATAAGTTCAAAGTTGAACTGACAACGGCTTTCTGAGCGACGCCGGTTACGGTGAGATGGGGCTAGCGTATGTATGTTACTATGCAAAAACAATGGCATCACCGTGGCTTGAACACGGGACCTTCAGATAAATCCCATCGACTCCTTTCACTTCAGTCTGCTGCTCTCCCAACTGAGCTATGACGCCGATGCAGAACTTTCCTTGGCTCTGTCCACTAGAGGCATCCTCTTTCCCCCAAATGCGCATATCCTGAAGCAGGAGAATCTTGTTATCTGGTCTGGGAAAGACATTTCGAGCGCAAGATCTCTGAGCAATGGAACGGAACTTGATCCTAAGCAAGTAGGGTCGCCACAAAATACATTTTATCAAGCACTTGCGTCATGAGGGAAACGTCGCTTGGATATGTGGAAGATTCGCCGATACCGCGAGGTGAAATCTGGCTTTGTGCAGGAAGGCGACAGGATTCGGAGAATACATATGCACCGTAAATTCACACGACGTTGGGGGGGGGATGAGAGAGTTGCAGCAACCAAATATGGGGCTAGGAACAGATAAGTCAAAAAACCGGGTCCGCCGGCGTGGTCATAAGGTAAGACCTTGTTAATTGGAGGACTGATCGGGAATATACGCAACGGTGGTCCACTCGCCTCCCGTGAGAGTGAACCGGGTGACATGGTCGACTTTGTTTCGGTCCGAATCTATCTTCTCGAAGCGAAGCTCTTTAGTTCCGAAGGCCTGTGAAGTTCGTAGAGTCTCCTTCCCAGTGTCGACCATCACTTTTCTTAGGCGACCCGGTTCGTCCACGTCCGCGACAGCACTGTGCCACGGTAGCTGTATACGAAGCTTGGACAGGTTCTTCATGCCTTCGAGGGAACGAATCGAGTGTTTGAAGATGATCTTTGAGAAACGAAAAGTGCATCAGTGACGGCGGAAATATTTTGCTATCACGAACCGTCAAAACAATGGAATCCCGCTCCATACAGACTAAAAGACTGCGTACATTCGGCACTGTTCTGCGGAGACCTAAACAAGGCCTGAGTGGATAGATTGAATGATTGACAATCTACCCACACTCGCCCATATTGAAAAACGGGATTAGATTATTGATAGTATGTAGTTGGGTGCAACAGGCTGCGGCTCGGATGAGCGCTCTTCCGTCACCGAAGTGCATGCGGTTATCGCGGACGTTCGTCAAGGTCTGAAGGTTCGGAAAACAGTGGAGGATCGGTGCCAAATCGTCAGGGATGGCCAGTGTTACGATGGAAGGAAACGAAAAATCCCGGCAGGATGTGCTGAGAATGGATCGCATCGGTTCTGGGACGCCAAAGATGGTGAGAGTTCGCAGGTTCGACAATAGCCGGAGTACACGGATAAATTGAGATATAGGCGGCGTGCAGTACTCCATACTGCACTCGTCAAGGTTGACGCACAGGGCTCTGGGCGTAGAGGTGTTCAATGCTCTTCCAGGTATGTAACGGCTGTGCACGTACTGGATGTAAGGCACGACGTAGGTCGTTTTTCTAATGCCCCTCATGCGACGTTCCAGTAGTTTCCCGCCCCTTTCGTACGAGGATCCTTGGATACACGGAGAGCCCGCATAGATGCAAGCCCACAAGGCAGGCAGGGATATGCCGCGCAGCCTGCGACAGCTCTGTGACAACTCGCAGTACCGTGGCGTTGTCACCGGAAAACTGTCGGCTTCGCACTCCGTGGACGAGACGACGTCGTGCGCATACTGCGGGGGGGGGAGTGCTTCACAATTTCCGCGAGCAACTCATTTGGAAGATCGAGGAGCGACGGCATCATGTGGAATTTGGACAACGGCACCAGGCGGGTGCGGCAGATATCGATGTGCGATTTGTCGTTTGAGGGCGATCCAGACACAGCCTATCGCGTCCAGCGGCGCGGGGAGTGATACGATCCAATACAATGAGAGTGAACACAACGAGAGCAGCCGCCGTCGAAGAGTTATCGTCGTTGTGGAGGATCACTCAGACTACAGCAGGACGTCGCCGGTTGCTCACGAGTCGTTGGCGGAGTGATGTGATTGGATCATATCGTGATGCGGGACTTAAAATGCTAGAGTCTCAGCCTAGAGTAGGAATTGACAAGTGCATGGTCGAGGAGACTGATAACCCTTGTGTTTCACAAAATTTCCGCTGCAAATAGCTCCAGCGTAATTTAGTATCACAGTGGCGTGCTTGCGTACCGCAGTTTCGGATCAGGAGTCAGTTCTAGCTCGGAATCCCAGATTCGATGTCTGATATTTAGCACCGGCAAGGATTCGAGATTCAAAACGGCAAGCTGTATCAACTCGTAATTCATTTTTCCGATCATCCAGTGTAGAACGTGTCGAGGAAGGGCTGAAACACCGCCCTCGAGGTCGTCTCTTTATCGTCATGTCGATTAATCCAACCACACCGATCCCGAACAGCAATTTGTCCCGGTTATACTGTAGTCAACGCGTCAGCCCCAAGCTGGAATAAAATAAAAGGAGAAGTTGAAGAGAACTGACTTGACGCGATCCAATAACACAAGCTCCACCCCCTTCAACTCATACAGCGCCACGAAATCCGTGTCCTGGTCGGTCAAAATGAGCATATCCTTGCTCTCGTCCGCCCATGGCGACACGCTGAGGATGTTACTCGTCCCGCCCGCCTCCGGCGTTGGGAGCGTGAAGAGCCCCGCGGCATCGACGAGCGAGCCATCGGGGTTCAGTGCCCAGCCAGAGATGTAGCCGGGGAAATCGGCGCCGCGCGAGCGCGTGCTGGCATAGAGCGTGTTGCCAGAGGAGGAGATGACGATCTCGTCACCCCAGTAGAGGGACGCGTTCGCGGGGGTCAAACCTAAATCCAAATTAAGCAAGGTTCCGTTGGAAATTTCGCGCTTTGGAGAGACGCACCAAAGGGTGTCACAGCGAGAGATATCTTGTAGGTGAGCGACCCGGCGGCGGGGTCAATCGTGAATTGGTCGACGCGGAGGCCTTCTTCGTCAATGAGGTACAGGTACGCGCCGTTTGGCGTGATGGCCGCATGCCGCGGGCCTGCACCGAGTTCACTGGGCGCAAAGTCGCCGAGCGCGGTGACGGTGCCGTTGCCGAGGTGCAGGGCATATGAGTGGATCGTGTTCAGGCCGAGGTTCTGTGAATCGTTGAAAAATTCGCAGGGTGTCAATCCACAGAAAGAGCAAGGGAGAAATCAGGAACACGTACAGTGAGGTACATGTACTTCAAATCCGGGGTCGTCGCGAACCCGTGCAGAGTCGACCCATTCGCAAACTCGAGCGCCTGGATCTTCGTCGTGAGCGCGCCACTCTCGTCGACATCCCAGACCTCGCCGCACGGCGTGACAAAGTCGAGCCCGTAAAACACACCGTGCTCCCCAGCCTCCTCGATGAAGTCATTCGCGATCGGCTTCGTCCCGCACGACGTGACCGTGTTAATTAGAGACACGGAGAAGTCGGGTTTGATCTTGTACGAGCTGAAGGTGCGCTGGCCATTGTCGGGCGGGGACCAGCCGGAGCCGTACACGGCGCCAGCTTTGCGCTGCACGAAAAAGAAGGAAGCAGATAAAATTAGGACGAATGCGAGGTGGGGACGGATCATCGGGGAGGCGTGTGGACATACGTTGATGGAGAGCCAAGGATGCGCTGCTGCAGCCGGGGTGGTGTGCGTGAGCGTCAATGACCCCGCGTCCGCGTCGATCTCAAGAGTGTACAGAAAGCCCGCGCCGACATCCTGCGTCCCGTCAAGCATGGCGGTGACATTGTACACCGTGCCAAAGTTTCCGACGAGGATGTGGTGTTTGGCTGACTCGTGAGGCTTCCCGTGGTGCGCTACGGCGAGCCCGAGCCACAGGGCACTGTGGAGGATCTGCCTCAGGGAGAACATTTGCGGGAGGAGGCGGAACTCACGAAACAGTGGGGTTTTTATCATCTTCCGAGAATGAGGTCAGCAGATGCGAAGAACCGGATGCGTGCATCGCTAAAGCCTGATGGTGGGTCCGACCAGATCAATGCGCCACGGAGGACCGGAGGTACACAATTACCGAGAATAGTTTAATTCGGTTCATGGCCGGTTGAAAGGCTGCAGTTGAAGTGAGACAGCTGCTGGCCAAAATGAGCAGAATTTACGCGTTAATCAAGCGTCAATATTGGCAAATTGTTCTTTGTTCAAGTTCTGGTTGAATTTGTGGCGGTTAAAAAGTTCAACCATGAGGTAACGTAAGATGTGACGGGGCGCGGTCCGTTATTCCGCGTGACGCATCAAGATATGATCCAATCATACCTCCTCCAAGCGGTGACCATGACGGTCACACCCGTTTCCCACCTTGAATCGCCTTGTCATGCCGTCGCTGCTCGACCTTCCAAACGAGCTGCTCGTGGAAATCGTCAAGAATTACCCCCCGCTGTATGCGTATGACGTTGATGCTCTCGTCGACGGAGTACGAAGTCGTCAGTTTTCTGGCTACGACTCGACGAGACCGTGCGAGCACTGTTGCAGACTTGCCGCAGGCTGCGGAGTATGCTTCTTCCTGATTCATGGTCACGGATCTACGCGGGTCCCCTATGGATGCATCCGTTCTCGTATACCTACAGCCGTTTTGAAAAGAGTATACGGGTTTTGATGGGCTGGTGCTAGAGTAACGGGCCGTTTGAGCTGAATTGGGCGGAGGCTGTCCTTGCGCTTTACAAATAGAATGTATACTATAGAACTCGAGTTGGAATATTCCTGCCTCCCAGCAGCTCGGTATGTTCTTGCGTACAAGTAATGTCCACGAAGGCACCGGCGCGCGTCTGCAGACTCGGAATACTGGTGGTAATCGCCCCTCGCCTGGATACTACGAGACGAACGAGCGGTCGAGCGAAAGACCCAGCGTCGACCAATGTCCGGTGCTCATTCCCAAGCACTGACGGAATCCGCTTTTTGACCATGTTTCAGGGAGGACCTGCGTGCTCTTGAGCCTTGTTCTAAGTAGAGGGGATCCCGGCGTACATCGGAGTTCCAGCCTGATTTTCGGGTGTGTACATGACTTTTCGAAAATTATCTGACGCAGTCATGGTTTCCAGTACACTACATGTTAGCTTACCGTGAGGTTCCGTCTTCAATGCCGTCTCCCTTCTTGGAGGTGTTATTATGGGCTAATGGGACCGGGCGTTGTGAACCGCGGTCTGAACAAGGGGTTTCA